ATCGATGCTCGTCCAGCCTGACCTCGGTCGGGGAAATTCGATCAAAGCTGCGCCGTTATTACCGAGGGTGTGCTCCCTACTCTCCTGCTCTTTCCCCTCTACTGGTTTCCTTCCTCCTCCGCACGACCCAGAGCCCAGAGGGAGATGCGGTGCACCGCGGGTGTTCGCTCCTCACTTCTCATTGCTCAATGCCCATCCGTCCACAATCCATATCCATGAGTTCTTTCCTCGCTCTTGAAAAAGAGGCACAGTCACATTCACTTGAGACTAGAGCCATCCACCAATCGTTATAAAGGTGATTCACCCAAATCAATGTGCTTTTAAATGAGATGCAGTCCCTGTCCGTAAATCTGTAAATCCCTGTTACTGCCGCCCAGTGGCGGATCCAGGGGGCTATGGACGAGGCATGAAAAGAATCGATAAATTGTTATGGTTTGCCCCCCCCCCCAAAAAAAACTCTGAGCTGGATCCGCCACTGCTGCCACCCACGAAAAATGAAAATGCACGTATATAGTGATACGGTGAAATTCGTCTTTTAATAGTCGAAGAGACTCTCTCTGCACCTCATCAAACGGTCGTCGATGATGAGACACAGCCTGCCCGCATCATGCTCGGATCGTTGGCCGATCGACGGAGCGATATTATTTCCCGGCTGGCCCAATAGTGCGCTCATTAGCCCTCATTGGCTCGGGAGGAGGGCAATCAGCAGCCTTTACCGGACTGATGGTCGGGCCGCGATTCATCCTCCCCTTGACACACTTCAGTGATAGAGTGGGTGGGGTGAGTGGAGAACGCAGTGGATAGAGTACGTCGCACACTGCAGCTGTGTGACGGCCTAGTGCCGCTGCCAGTGCTCATGAGTGGATATGACCGTCCGCTTTGAGTTGAACTTATGACCGAAACAACTTGTAGTTGAAAATTTGTTAAAGCTTAAATGGGTGGGGTGGCCGACAATATTTGAGAATGACACCGTGCGTCTGCCCCTTTTTGGAGATGGTATTCGTATCATGCTCTCAAGTCTTCGGTGTCTGACGTTGAATTCTTTCGGTAACATTTGTTTGCGACAACCGCAGATAGCATGTTGCATACAGCCTTTTCATGGTAGATTACCACTTGCGTGAGGAATTTTCATTTGATGTCTCGGCTTTCATCGATCTATCTTGGCTTAGGATCAGCTTTTGGTCAGTACTTTTGAAACAAAACAAACAAATACCCACATCCAAACACACTGAAGGCCGTGTTGGCCCAGTCGCTGACCGCCCCGCCCGGAGGTCTGGTAGGGGGGAGGGGGGGGGGCGACCTTTGGCCACGGGCCCGTCCGCCGTGCTGGCTTCCTGTCCGCTCCCGGCGCTATCTCCATCCCCGTGTGTCAGCGGCTCAGCCAAACAGACAGCCGTCACAGCACACACCGGCCGGCCGCCCCCAGCCGCTAATTGGCGACCGCTCATATTTGTCACGCTAAATGTCGCAGGTGCTAATTGGGCTACCGGCCGCGACGCAATCGGTGCAATCACCCGCGCCCGTCAACAGAACTGCGGACACCACCGCTGGGTGCCGGCCTCTGCTGCGCTGAAGGTTGGCGAGGCGGGTTATTGGGTACGTTCTGCAGTATATGCTGAATGTTGTGATCTTATATAATCGGTGGCTTACAGCAGATATACATTTTTGCGTCATGCCTTTTTGCGTCATGCCGTCACACAAGTCATGACTTTGATGAATCAGGCATAAATCATTTATATCGTAAATGTACAAGCATTTTGTTCTTACAAAAATGAAGTACGTTGAGAAGTAAAAGCTAAGAATTTCATAGGATATGGCAATGCTTCCGTTTCTGCCATCTTCGTTGTTCAGCTCTCTTTTCTTCGCATGCCTGTGAAGGACATGGGCTCATGAGATGACTGGCGAACCCCGAAATTATGCTGCAGTTTAGCCGTGACCCACATCGGAGGCGGCTGAGACCCCGTCTCGGGGGCGTCAGGTTCCGGCGACGAGAGGTCAGGCGACGCTCTCACCAAACACGCGACTCGGATGAGATGAGGGCGGGCGCCGCGCGACGAGGGTCATCGCCGGGATACAGATCGGGGCCGAGGTGTCAAATGACGGGGACGGGAGGAGGGGAATGAGACCGGAGAGGGGTCGACAGATCGAGGACAGCGTTCGAAAAACGGACCAAGGATGGAGAATTATGGGACGGAAGTGAAGGACGATAAAAGAGCGATGGGTGTGAGACAAGGAACCGGGGGAGAGAGACTACTCGACGACGCTAGACTAGACTAGAAGGCCTCGAGGACGCCCGACTGTGTAACCCCCGCGCACCGATTGTGTCACCGCTCCACACAGATTGTGTCCCCGCTGCCCATCGATTGTGTCCCCGCTCCCCACCGTCTGTGTCCCGGCTTCCCACGCCACATCCCATGCGAGATGGGGCTGTGGCAGGCCAATGTCACCAAAAGGTCAGAGAAAAACTGGTCCGGCCGGCGTAATCAGATCATATTAGTTCACCTTTTGTCACAAGAAACCGACAAGCTACAGATAACTTATACAATTAAAAACTAAGATAGACGGATATAAAGTGTCTTAGTTCTCCTTAATTCTATATATCAGGACCATCGCCTGCATACCATGGATGATCGAATCGTCATCTAGCAGTGATTTTGATAGTGTGGATATTTACGTGAAATGAATAAGTATAAGTAACGCGCACGACGAGAACACGTTTAAATGTGCTCAGTGCTACCCGAGCACTGGCCTAGACATCTATCACGGTTGTCACGATATCGTCCTTCGGAAGCTCGTTCAGTTTCTTTGAAGAAAAAAGATGGTCAATATATGAACGGGGGTATCTATGCCTCTACATAAATGAAAATAACTTAAAGGGACCCTCCCACCTTCAAAAAAGTTTATGAATTGGCATGAAAGTGATGTCGCTCGGTTCAGAAAGAGCGAAAACGAATATCTACCAAATTTCACTGAAAAATATTCACCGGTTTTCAAGATATTAGACTTTTACTTTTGTTTACTTTTTTGGGATCTCCGCTGTTTCTAGCGACTTTATTTTAGAAGTACGGCGTTTGCGGCAGATGTTGCGCGCAAATAGCATATACCACCGCGTGCTACAAAACGTTTTAGTCAAACATTTAAAAATCGTTAGATATTTGCGCTGACGTCACACATTCAGAGGGGTATTCCTAAGCATTAGCCCCTCTGAATCAAAATGCTGCAATTTTGAAATTCAATATTTCCGATTTAAGGCATTTCTCGATGTTGTGAGTGCCGAAACCGGTAATTGTGAGCCAGGGACCCCATTTTGGCTATCTCAACTCAAATCTAATGTTAAGGTGGGAGGGTCCCTTTAACTTGATTCATGATTAAAAAGTAAAATGATCGTGAGGCTGCGGGAGGTTTCGCAATGCATGTTTGCACTGTACCTAGGTGTCGTCGCAGTATTTCAGAAGCTGTTAGCCTATATATTCCAGCTTTTACACGCGAGCACAGGCTGTGTATTCGTAGTCAGCCCCAAGCCATGAAAATACGACTGTTATGTGAGGATTATATGTTCCAGACTATGCATCTGAGATAGGAGTCTGTCCGAAACAAGTAAAATGGTTTTCGGATATATCCCTTAAAGGAAATAGTTCACTTTTTAACATGGGTTTTGAACTGGAATAGCAGTTCCGTAGCTTGGGCTGAGACGAGCATAAATCAGGAGCTTTTACACCCCAACGATCACCCTAGGCAAAGATATTCTATTTCTCGTCCCGAAAAAGGTGTCTTGCGTTGAGGATGTGTGCCTTGCATATATTTCCATCCAGTATGAAAAGAGCATGGGTCCCGAAAATTCTTCAGAAAGTAGAGAAATTATCTACGAGAACTCTAGAGAAATTCTCGTACTGATCAATTAGGACATTCAGGGGAACATTATCAGATCGAGCAGATCGCCCAAATGCCGGTGGCTGCGATAATTTCTCTGTTTCTGAAGAATTTTCGGGACACATGCTCTTTTCATACTGGATCGCGTGTGCCTTACAGAAACTGAAAAGTTCTTCCTATATCAAAATATAGAAAATAATCTTTTGTTATAAAAAGGTTTTATTTTCTTTGCTGATTATTTTGAACATAAAAAATCATAAATCCGTTGCAAAAAAAATAATTTCGTGAAAGTGAACTATTTCCTTTAAGAACGCGTGCTTTATTCAACCAGTCTAAAGATTGTGGTCTGACAACTGGGCTCGAGTATTTTGCAGCGTATGGTACTGGGAAAATAACTTTTCATTTGCAAAATGAATTATTGTTCTGTGTTTCCTCGTGACCATAAGTGGCTTACTGAGTGACATAACCTAGGTATACGCCTCACCGTTGGCATTTTCCTGTCTGCATTAGGACACAACAGTACGTTTCAAACAGCCACATGAACGTGGTAAAGTTTTGTCGGTTCTATATTGCCAACTGACTCCTTTTTAGCGATCTGTATCAATTTAGCATACCTGCTGCTGATTAGATATGCAACTGCAGTCTGCACGGACTCACGTCTCCCGAATCGTCCGTGTTGAATTAGCCTCCGAGTTCTCAGGAAGTTGATTAGGATAAACTATGTCCTTGTCAGCGTAGTATGCACTGGGCATTAAATCATTTCTACTGGTTACATTTGCTATGCAATGTGCATTATGTAACACGTGCAGTTCGCGTCACTGAAGATCTAGGCAATGCTATTTGGCCCGAGTGCATGCTTTACTGGCGGATGATGTCATAGCAGGCAACCTCGCCCCGCGCTGTGCCGACCGGGAACGGTAGGGAAACTCTGCCGTAATGTTCATGTTTTGGCAACTATTTTACTTATGCTTTGTCGTGCTTTCATTTTCCAAGTTTATGGTTTGTCTGATAGAAACGTCTCAAGTTCTGCTTCGTCATGAACCTTGTGTTTGTGAGTACCGATCGACAATTCAAACCCACTGACTCATCTCTTCCGTGCCATGTGCTGACTGGTGTGTCTCTGCACTCAGGTGCCTCTGTGGGCGCTGCGTATGGCTGAGTGTGTGGCCAGCCCGTGCTCGGAGTTGGCCGCCACCCGCCGCGCGTGTGACCAGACGGGCTCGTCCAGCACCAGCGGCGCCGCAGCCGGGGGCGCCGCTGCCAGCCGCGCGCCCGGCCGCGCCCGGCGCACCCTGCCTCTGAGCGTGGACGGCCGACTGCTGGAGATCGTACTGCGCGACGACACGGCGCCCCAACACGTCGAGGGTGAGTGTCAGCTCTGGCTTTGCTTTCTTGTTTTGTTTTTCTTTAATGACGCATCAGTCAGACTTGTCTATTATGCGTCAATTGAGTGTCTTTTTGCCCCCGTCCGGCGCCCCCGTGTCCCGACCCGAGCCTGTGAACACACACTGGCTGTCATCTGAACGGGAAAAGGGTTACTGACTTTATGTAGTTATGTAGAGCTGCGTGTGTTTCATGAAAATAATGTTCGCCTAACGCTTATCAGCCCCCATGAACTCCGATTGGCACCGTTTGAATGAATCAGTTCCGTGCCAGCGGATATTGTTTAATCTCACTTCAAATAGGAGAGCGGAGTGGTCATCCTAAGCTGTCCAGCTTTTACACGTATGTACAGATACCTACAGTGCATGAAATTCCGATGCTAACGTTTGGGCACACGCCAACTCTGCCGCTGGCCTATAAGAAAGGCATTTACGCGGTCTGACTGTGCAACGTATCTCAGCAGCTGCAGGCAGCGTCTTGTGTTGTGCGGGCCGGTCTATATCCCTAGTCACAGACGTGCCGTGCGGGTCACCTATCCCTAGTCACAGACGTGCCGTGCGGGCCACCTACCTCACAGGCGCAGACGTGTCGTGCGGGTCACCTACCTCACAGGCGCAGACGTGCCGTGCGGGTCACCTACCTCACAGGCGCAGACGTGCCGTGCGGGTCATCTAACCACCAGGCGCAGCCCGCCTGTTTTTGGCTAATAGCCAGCCATTAAATTGTCAGCTCTGCTTATCTAGCCGTAGCCGAGCCCTCATATCAAGCGTTGTTTTACAGTCCAATGCAGGAGACGTTGGCAAACAACAGTGCAATTGCATAGCGCAACGTTTATACGTCATTTTAACCTGCACGACCGCAATACATTGTGCTATCGGAACGCGGTAATCACATTACTTCGGTGTGTTCTACGATGTTTCGGTCTGCTGTCAGTTATCATTACGGTAATATGCCCGTGCCGTATCTAAATTGCCTTACTGATCAGGAGCCCAGATATAGTGATCGGCTGTGTCCTTTTTAGTTTGCAATAAAAACGTAAAATGAAAATAAAGGAATGCCTTTTTAGACAATATCGTTCATATTCTAACTAGCTTAAAATAGTCTGAAACAAAGAAAAACTGAATTTCATACATATATTTGTGCAAAGTCCATTTTGTTATAACATTCCTGGAAGCAGACATGTGCGTGGATCCGAGCGATGGATCTATGATCTCAGTGGATATCAAAGCACACTGCAGGTTAGGATCTATGATCCCATCGGATCCGGCGTGAAAAATTCATCTTGGATCTATGATCTCTTACGATCTGACGATAAACCAAATGATCTGAGTGGATTCCACCATGCACAACATTTGAAACCATGTTTCAAAGTATTTTTGTGTCAATAAGTGCCACAAAACTATGGATTATGATGTGCGAGCACATAAAATCACTAAAAAAGAATGTTTGTGAGTTGCAACAAGTCCTTTTTGGGGATTTCTGTGTTGGCAAAAAATAAGTAAGGATATATGATCTTACTGGATCTCAAGCAAAAAATAAGACACGGATCTGTAATCCCTATGGATCTCTCAATAAATTAGATTGCTGGATCTATGATCCCGTCGGATCCGAACTCAGGATCCGTGCGATCAAAACCCTGATCCATTTTCTCGGATCCATGCACATGTCTGCCCGGAAGCGTTTCATGTCGAAATGGAGGATGGCAGTTCTGGCAGTTCTCGAGCAATATACGCTGACACGAATATAATAGGTTGGTAGTTGCTAGCAAACGCAAGCGTGCAATACCTGTAGGTACCGGTAAGAAACGGCTCGATCCCTAACTCATGAACTCGCTATGGGCGTTTTAAACGGGTTTATCAAATATTTTCATTATATGTATCATCACCAATGCTTTGCCTACCGCCATGTAAAGTCTGGCATGTAATGTTTTGACGCTGTAGGAAATAATGTGTTGACGTGATGTTTCCACAGCTTACATTCTCGTTTGAGAGTGCGAATTCATTTCTGGAATTCAAACGATTTCGCCGAGCCTTTTATTAAAAACAAGGAAAATCGTTTAGTTCGAGGTGTTTTCTATGAGAACCGAGGTGAAAACGTCTGAGTATGTAAAACCATCTTGAATCTGTAGTCATTGCTTTAGCCAGTGGCGCAGCCAGGGGGGGTCAGAGGGTCAGCTGACCCCCCCCCCCCGAAATTTCTGTCAGGGGCCCGCTCGAGAGAGAGAGAGAGAGAGAGAGAGAGAGAGAGAGAGAGAGAGAGAGAGAGAGAGAGAGAGAGAGAGAGAGAGAGAGAGAGGGAGGAGAGAGGTCCTAATCTAACCGGACGAGAGAACTGGCCCGGGCCCCTTGGGTGGATGGGGCCCGGGCCCCCTGGGTGCATGGGGCCCGGGCCCCCCGTGGATGGGGCCCGGGCCCCCCGTGGATGGGTCCGGGCCCCCGGGAGAACGGACCCCGGGCCCCGGGTGGACGGGGCCCGGACCCCCGGTTGGATGGGGCCCGGGCCCCCGGGAGAACTGGCTCGGGCCCCTGGGAGAACGGGCCCGGACCCCCTGGGTGGAGGGGCCCGGGCCCCCGTGGATGGGTCCGGCCCCCGGGAGAACGGGCCCCGGGTGGACGGGGCCCGGACCCCCGGTTGGATGGGGCCCCGGCCCCCGGGAGAAAGGGCCCGGGCCTCCCGGAGAACGGGCCCGGGCCCCCGGGAGAACTGGCCCGGGCCCCTGGGAGAGCGGGCCCGGCCCCCGGGAGAACGGGCCCGGGCCCCGGGTGGACGGGGCCCGGACCCCCGGGTGGCCCCCGGGAGAACGGGGCCCGGGCCCCCGGATTGATGGGACCCGGGTCCCCTGGTAGACGGGGCCCGGAGCCCCGGGTGGACGGGACCCGGAGCCCAAGGTGAACGTGGCCCGGGCCCCCATATGGATAGGGCCCGCGCCCCCTTGTGGATAGGGCCCGGGTCCGCGGTTGAATGGGGCCCGCTAGGGTGACCCGCTTGCTCCGCAACGCGAATAAGGTGTATTTTCGATCGGTGGGCGTTTGGTTGGTCTTGTGTCCGTGGGCTATGTATCCAATCCGGTCGATTGCTTTTTGACGGCTATGCATTTTGGTTTGGGAAAAAATATCCATCGAATCGAGGTGCTGGTGTCTGATGAGCATGCGTTCTACTATAGAACATGTCATGTGTAGTTTATAACAAAGGCTGACGAAGGTTATTGAAAAATGAAAGCCATCGATGAGTTACTATGTAGAGGTTTGAAACATTTATATTTTTAAGAATACTGCTGCTCGTCATGCAAAAGCGATGGTTGGATTTTGGACAAAATTGAATGCTCTTTCCAAATATGCCATTTTCATTTGTCAAACGTACCAGGTTATGCAGTAAAACCTGTGTAATTAAGTAAGTCATTAACAAATACCATTTTCTCCAGCGATTTGTTCCACCTTGTTTTTGATCAATTAGCTTTTCACAATTTTTCCATGCGAGGCTGTGCATTTCTTTTGCCAACAGGCGTTGTTAGAACCCTCTCCGTCAAACAGTCACCCGAAAATAGCATTAAGTCCCAAATCTGTCCGAAACGTCAATTTTCCAGCATAAGTGCCCTCACGGGTGCACGTGGCGCGTGCCATCCCTGCACCGCACACCATTCGATAGCCTGTTCGATTCTCTACAGTCTACACGATACTGTGTTCCCCGTGCCGATCGGACCCACGGTTACCGAGATACTGCACGGGGATCGGACCAGTGTCGGGCAAATTTAGCCAATTTCGCACGATTTTGCAAGCCGATTTATACATGTACTGTAAAGTCTATGACGCGAATTTGCACTTTTTAAGCACGCGCCATGTGCTCGCTATCGATCCGATCGAGCTGAGACCCTCAAAGGCACGTTGCCCATCCTTGATCTATAAATCGTGAAAATTTCAGCGCACTAGGCGCAACGGTCTGGCCTGTACACCGCGCTAAGTAACACCATGCCGGGACCTTGATAGCAGACAGAATCTACGTCACCACATCACCACACCACAACAAACCCGGCCCAAGGCAATACATGTCCCATATGAGCGCGTTAATCCTCGTCGGCACAGGCCATTCCAGCCACTTTGCGTCCTTCGACGGCACAAGGGGAGGTTGGTACGACCCCCGCGTTTGGCCCATGATCGAGCTAGAGCTTCGCGGAAAAAAACGAACGTGTTGCCCGTGACGAGAGTAAGCCGATGATACTCAATTTTAAGGTTCTTGGTCATTGGTTGACCTTCCAGGTCAGGTCCATGACCCAAAAATCGGGAAAATCGGGACCTGTTAGAACGTCGTAAAGTGTGGCTGCTATAGGGTTTTTCGGGGTGCTGATCACGAATAGTTATCATGTTAGTTTTGATCACAGATGATGTCTTTATGCATTTAGGTCAGGTCGGGTCAGGTCAGGTCAGGTCAACCAGTAGGGGTCCTGCCGGGTATTTGTAGTAACTAGTACCTACGTGTCAGCCGCCTCTAGCAGCTTCGTAACATGTTACGAAGGCACCAAAACTACTTCGTGAATATTCAAATGGTTGCTAAATTCTAATTCAGCTCCAAAAACTAGCCTAGAAACATGTATAATTCGAAAAAGTACCGAGGTCATCATAGGTCAATGACCTGACCTGACCTTCAGGTGACCTTGACACCCACTCTAATGCATGGGAGCAGCATCAACTCACATGTTTGAACGCTTGAAACCACGAAAAGACTGCAAACGCGCGGCTAATGCGAGTCGGCATACCGACGCCGAATCGTAATTCTGGCCAAACATGGTCTCAGTAGGTCACATGTGAAAGGTCATTTGAGTCAGGGTCATGCAATTTCTAGGGTAGGTGTAAAACTGATCAACGCGAGGGTACTGAAAGTGTTGTCGCGATCGGCCGCTTTTTACGCGAGTTATTCACGAAAACCCTTAGGGGGTTGCATCATACCCTTCCCCTGTGCCGGCGAGGGTTAAAACTTCTTGTGATCGAATTTACGTAATGAAGAAGGATAAAGGCACAATCTTCTACAGCAGCCAATAGATGACTTAGACAGGCACATGGGACTACTTAAATATTGTCTGATAGAAGCAGGCAACAGCTCCGTTAGCATATATGCTATGCATATTGCGGAAGGGGCACATTTCGGCCTCGAAAGATACGAATTCGTACCTCACAGTAACATATTTCTGTCATGGTCAATTCGCGTAGAAATTGAACACCGGGTGATTACCGAGCTATTGTTCTATCAAAATTTTCCGATTCAAACTCGCTCAGGGTTATCGTATAGGTAAAGGGGGCCCGCTCAGCAGAATGCGTATGAAATATGGAAAGATTCTGAAAAATGGTTGGGGGCCCGCACACTAGGGGGCCCGCTTTGGAGGCGATGACCCCCCCGAAACCAAATCCTGGCTGCGCCACTGGCTTTAGCCATAGGCTGGTATACAAGTTTCACATGTTCTATTATCGCTGCTGCCTGTGTTTACGGTGCCGCTGCCGCTACGCTCGGTCTCCGACGGATCCATCTACAGCGGTGCGGCAGGTGCACGTGAGTCGCGTCCTATATATAAGTGCCGCCGGGAGGCTGGCGGCCGTCCCGCGTCTGGCCAATAAGCCGGGCGACGTCCGGTGTCTGGTCGGCCGGACCCGGATCGAGGGCCGCCCGTCGGCACCGCGCCGCTAAAGTATAAATGAGAATCCGCAGGATCCCGGCCGATTGCCTGGACGTGCGCAGTGGATCGGACTCCGTCGCCGCCGCCTGTCCTGCTGCCGTTGCCAGCTCAGTCCGGTGTCGGTGCGGATGTCTATATAGGATATGAATACAATACCTACAGACTGGGCATGCAATGGTGATTTTGACCGAAATGCCCCAAACACAAATAAATAGAATAAATAAATAAATACCTACAGACACATTCGATGTGAGCCGTGAGCACTACAGGCTGCGCGAGGCGGTGGATACGAACACCCGGTGGGGCGGTGCTATAGGATTACCAATCAACCGTCAACTGGATCACATCTTGAACGGGTTCACCAGCTCCTATCGACACAAACGGCGTATGAAAGTTTGAATTAAACGTTTAATTATTCACGCGTATTGTGATTCAAACGTTTAATGATTTAGGAGGGTTTCCCCTAGTACCGGATACCTACCTATAGTGGTTTCAATGACCCTAACAAATCTAAACGCCAACAGCGGGGCATGAATGGGGTCTGTTCAGCATCCTTATCGATTTAGTCATGGACTGGGCCGCCTTCGCAGTATTTGTCAGTTTATATCATGTTTTGTAGATGTGATATGATCAAAGTTTTCAGTGATAGCACACGGTCTTGAGAGCGCTACGAGCTTACGGGCGGGTTAGTTCGGTGGCTGGGAAGGCTGGAGAGTCGTTTAATGGTTGCATAATGCATATGTCAGTTAAAGGCCTAACTGACTGGGATTACCTACAGCTACTGGAAGTGGTTGTTGTATAGGCATGTAAATACTCACAGGCCAACTGAAGTCGATGAGCATGGCGTCCGTATTATTATGTTTTATGTTATGTATTATGTTTTACTTACGATACTTTCTGTTTTGTTTTATTTCAGAACCAACATTGACTTTTAAACTCGTATAAATCCAGCACATAATTTAAAAAATATATATGAGCCCCGTTCATGAGCCGGATGACCATCGATTGGGCGCACTGTGCAGCGAACCTTCATTAGCGTGGGTTTTGAACTCCGTTACTGCTCTACTGGGATCTGATGCCTAACAAAATGTAAAAAGTGTCTCCAGGCCGACTACGTGTTTTAGCTGGCCTCGTTTAATTGCACCCGTAAGCCAGCATTGTTTATCGCAAGGACTCAGTGTTTTCTGAGGTTTATCTTTAAATTGCTTTTTTTGTAGGAGTTTCATTCTCTCTTCTTGGAGCTGTTTTCTTCGGGTTGCGTTTTCGTTTACCTTGCTAAATTCAGGCTGAGCTGGAGAATGCTTCACATTCTGATCTTCAGCTTTTTGTTTCTGTTTTAGTTGAGGAATATATGACATTAATTTTACGTACAAAATGACCCAACAGCTGTCACTTCAAGAATTTAAATTGAAAAGGAAGAAGTTTAATTGTTGTAAACTACAACAGACGAAGTACATAGATTCAAGAGGCGAATTTTATGATGGACATGCATGTGCCTGGCCTGCGACCTTGGATAAACCTGTGACCCCGCCCTGACCTCTGTCCCCTCCCTGACCTGTGGGCTGTGAACCCTCCCTGCCTCTGACTCCTCCCTGACCTGTAACCTTTCCCTGACTGCTACCCCTGGCTGACCTCTGACCCGTTCTGCGGCAGAGCTGCTGCGACTGCTGTCGGGCGGCGGCGAGGGCGACCTGCTGAAGCTGGTGGCGCCGTCCGGGCAGCTACTGGCGGCCCGCTCGGTGGTGCTCTCACCTCAGCTGTCCGACGGCGGCCCCTACCGGCTGGCCAGGGTCGCTACACACGTCTGTGGTGAGTCGAGCCCGCACCTATTGGTCGGTCCAGACCTCACCAGAGCACACACCGCCCGCGGTAACCTCCTGAGCCTTTGTTAAACACGCATCAACTACGATTAGATTATGGCTATATAGGTAGTAGTAATGTAGGTATGTATTCATTTCATTCGAATACTCTCCCGGCTCGCCATTAGCGCATTACGTAAGCGCATTGTGCGGAGCTGTGCGGATGTTGCAGTGGTTCTGTACCGGGGGCCGCGGGGCGCGGCTGTTGCCGATACCACTGACGGTTTGGCCGCCATTCGCCCCAGATAGCGGCCAGGCGGGCCATCTTTATGGCTTCGTTTATGGGTTCACTGATAGGTGCCGAGTGTTCTGCAACGATCAAATAGCTATACTCAGATGCGTGAATTGGGTTATGAGTACCCATTGTACTCTTGAATGTATTGTGGCATGCGTAGGAATAGGTTTTTGTATGTGTGCATGGAGCTATATGCCTAAAAGCTAATGGCATATTTGGGGAATGGTGCAAGTTAGATTCATATCCGTGTTGGATTTAATTCAGCCTTTTCATTAATTTTTCAGCATCGACATCAGTGCTATCCTAGCAATTGTAGATTTTCCCGTTTCGCAGCTTGAGTAATATAGGTATTTAGCTTGTATTGGTATTTTTGCCTAAAAAGGACCTCCAACATATAGGTAAATCATGATCAAGTTTGAATACTAATTAAAGTATTTTAGTAACCTACCGAATGCAATATGCACTTGCAGTGTACCTAAATTAAAGTGAAAGATATGGTGTTAAAGGAAGACTGCCACCTTCAAAAAGTTTTCTCAGATCGGCCTATGATTTATTCCCTGGACAAAACAAAATTTTATAATTCACCTGACAAAGTATCATCACGTGAATCGCGAAAAAAATTGTCGATTATCATACAATTATCAATCGGTTAATGTCTAGCGACAATGTTTACACATCACTAGACTTCAAGGTCATAAGATTATTACATTTTAGTTGAAAAAGTAAGGTATTTTATGATTTACTAATATATGATTTCATAAGAAATTGGCCATGTTTAATTTATTTTGCATTTAAGTTCGTAAAACATTTAAAAATCATGGCTCATTTGGAATGGGTCTGGCCCATGTTAAACCCCATTTCCCACACTTTTTTGGAAAAAATGAACTACTGAATATATAAGTTTAACTTTTATTTTGACACTCCAAAATTCTTCTCTGATCTCGAAACAATCAAAGTTTTGACATATATTTACCAAAAGATAAGAAAATTCATGTTTCAAAGTTATCGATAAACAGTAGAGATGTCGGTTTTCTTGGACTAAAAAAATGGCATCAAACTGAACTTTGGTCTCCGATTTCTCGCAAACGGGTTCGAATTTCGGAAAACCGACTTCAGTCTGGGACATAGGTGACTCAGCTCTAGTGAAAACCGTTTTGTGGAAAAAAGGTGGCAGTCTACCTTTAAGTGCTCTCGCGAGGAACATATTGTTATAATATCTCAAAATGAATGACGTTTTCCTCGAATATAGAAAGTTTAAATGTCGAAAATGATGTACCTATTTAAGTGAATTTTCGCCCACAGGGCATCATCAGACAAGCAATTGGCACAAAGAAGCAATTGGCACAAATTTGTGCCAATTGCTTGTCTGATGATGCCCTGTGGGCGAAAATTCACTTAAATACATCATTTTCGACATTGAAACTTTCTATATTCGAGGAAAAGGTCATTCATTTTGAGATATTAAATTAAAGTTAATCGACTGAAACAGCAAAACAATTTGAAGGCAAAATGGTCTTAAGTAACGTCTGATAGAACATTAAATTTGAGCGCCTTTATATCAGCTCGATTTATCTATTTATTATCTCCTTCAGGTGCATTCATTATTATGTGGCTTTGGTTTATGTATTTATCATTATTTGTCATTTATCGAGCTCAAACGACATAAATTACACAGTGCACACCTTACACTGCAATGCCCTTTGCCCACTGCAGACAATTTTTGCGACTTGACCTGTCATTCGCCGTCAAGAGGCCACTCTTACCGCGCCAAACTCCCAAAGCTATGGTGTTATCAATCAACGAGCAGCATGGCTGCTGCATCCCTCTGAGAATATAACAGGATGTCTTCGAAGACAGTTATTGGAATGGTTACGACGTGTTGCGATGGCTCTTAAGATGGAATGGCTCACTTTCCAGAAAGAAGTGAAAATAACTTCAGATCCATTGTGTGTCCATGACATTGCGGAGTTGGTAATGTAATTAGATAACGAAATTATATCATCTAATCAATTGCTCATTACACTAATGAGCCAGTTATCTATGTTTTAATTAATATATTTCTTTTGACATAGCAACAATAAAAGCGTGCTCGTTACATATCACTGTTCGAATTGTCTTTGCCGTGTTGATTGCCATTATTTTAACCGTTTTATGCATGCAAGTCACACTCTGATGACCCACCAGAGTCCACTTGCCCAATGTCCATTATAAATACCTATGTCGTGCCCTTTTTCAGAGAGAAGCATTGAAACAAAGAAGGAGGACCTACAACTGCTCAAAGAAAGGTGCGTGCGTAGATATCCCGAGCGAATTATTTTACATGAATTACATTGCATGAATTCAGGTTCAGCGGAGGGGTGTGCCTCAGTATTTAGTAGGTACCTATCCACGTTAAGGTCTAAACATAGGTGTTATGATTTAACTTTGTACAAGTCTAGAACGATTTAATTCGATACACCGTATTGCTTCCTGCGGCTGGGCTATACTGTCTTGCTTTTAGGAAGCCTGGCTCGAATATCTGTAACCAGAGCGAATAGATATAACAAATTAAACTCCAGGCAGCCCTCCTATGTCTCGCTAATCAATAAAGTCGATGATCGCTTACGGCGGCATTGCTGCACTTTTACCCAGAAACATTATATATCAATTACATAACTCTGTGCATTTCAGGCTAGATCAGTTGGAAGAAGAGCTGTTGAAAAACTCGGAACCAGTACCACCTTCGATAGTGGAACTGAAAACCAGCGTGGCTCACCTGCTGAGACACATAAACCGACCAGACCTGATTGATTGGCTGGGTAAGTACCGTACAAAGTAGTGGTGTCAATCGGAACTTGAATCTTCGGAATTCCGATTTTGTCCAATGTCCAATTCGGAATTCGGTTGGACAATGACAACAGGCTTTGGACAACTTTGGACAATAGCTTGCTACACCTCAACATTTTTATAAAGTAATCGTGTTTAACATTGATTGGCTATTAGAAAGCTTAGCTTTCGATATGATTAACACTTTTGAGCTGGTAACGATACATTAAAAGCAAATTAAATAACGTTGTTGGGTGTAAACTATTGCGTAGATGTCGGACATCTTTGGACAAATGGCTGGCTTGGACATTTTTGGACGGACAGTCGACGTAAGTATTGGACATTGGACGGACATTGGACGTACGTTTTCTGAAATTGACACCACTAGTACAAAGCACACTCGGACACTCCTCTTCTCTCTCTCTCTCTCTCTCTCTCTCTCTCTCTCTCTCTCTCTCTCTCTCTCTCTCTCTCTCTCTCTCTCTCTCTCTCTCTCTCTCTCTCTCTCTCTCTCTCTCTCTCTCTCACTCTCTCTCACTCACTCACTCACTCACTCACTCACTCACTCACTCACTCACTCTCACTTCACTCTCACTCTCACTCTCACTCTCACTCTCACTCTCACTCTCACTCTCTCTCTCTCTCTCTCTCTCTCTCTCTCTCTCTCTCTCTCTCTCTCTCTCTCTCTCTCTCTCTCTCTCAACTCTTTCGTGGAAAATATAATTGTGTCTGGTCAAGCAAGGTAGTTAACAGCGCTAGCTGCTCCGACGCACCTTCCCACTGCAGTGCGGCTGCCTCTCCCGAGAATTCCTGTTCCTTGAGCTGGGACGAAATGTTCGGCCGGCCTGTGTGCTGACTCGTCGCAGAGCTGAGCGTTCTCATTTCCTGCTGCGTCTTGCGTGGCGGCCAGGTGAGAGCGTGCCTCTCGCGTAAACAACTAAAGCTCCTTTTCTGGCGGCAACCAGCGGCGGCGACTGCTTCAGCAGAGTTTGAGGATTTCTTAGATGTTTTTACTGTTTTGGCTTAATTGAATTGGAGAAGTGGTCTGAAGGTCCTTCGCTGAAGCTGCTGCTCCAAGCTGCCTCAGAGCCATTACCGTTTTGATCTCGCTTTGAACTTGACGAGACCAGCGTAAGGGTAAACATCGTAAACGAGAGAACATTGCATGTGTTAGGCATGCTGCTTAATTTCACCGGAGGAGGTTTTAAACGGTAGAGCTCTCTGCATATTCACGGTACTCTGAACTATACAATGGCTACCTGTCATGTGTTGGAGTAGCTCTCACGGGCGAGTGTCCAATGCCATTGAGTATTTGTCAATGTCATATCTCTTATCTGATAGCCTTATCCAGCTACTTTGAACGAATCGCTGGCCCATGAACCTAAAGGAATGTTTGTTGCCTGTTTTGTATCGGGTGTAAAAAGCAATGGAATGTAGAAGCACGCTAACTGGTCAGTGAGTATGACGTTGTTCTTATCGAGGAGCAGATGGACGATTTTCTCAAGTCATATATTGCTGATGTACTGAATGCTTATTGAGCTGCATTGAAAGTTTACATTGTAAAACATTCAATATTTATGTCCACCGTTCTTATACTGGCACTGTCTTGTCTGATCGCGAATTATAAGATCCGTGATACCGTACCGGTATATGTTTATGATCCGTGGTGCATAACTGCTGATAAAAGTTATTCTGTTAACTCCTGGTCACCATCAATAAGCAAGTTATATGTTCAATAACTTGGAACGGCGTGTAGCTCGCACGATTGCCTGCCGCATAGACTGTGCCGCCATACATGCGGCTTAGCCGGCACAGTATACCGACCGCGGCGACATCTCTCCCCTGAGCTGTTTGACAGATGGCCGGGCGTAGAATGATTCTGAGCAGCACCGAATCACTTCTTCTCCTTTCACGGCAATCATAATTGTCACAATTTATTGGCGAGTATGCCTGCGATATAAGCCAGCGCATTCTGAATAGTGAGCAATCTCGAGAGGTCCAGACTTGTTTCATATAGTCGGGAGTCTGGACCCGCACTACTCTGATCCAGACTTGTTTCATATAGTCTGGAGCCTGGATCCTTTCTTCTCTGGTCTCGATCTGGTCACAAAACACATGTATTCGTTTGCCGGCGACTGGTTGTGGTAATGCCATTGGCGTGTGTCTGTGTGTCTGTGTGTTTGGGAGGGGTGCGGCGCCGGGCCGGGCCGGCCCGGCGGCACCGGCTATCACCCGGCAAAGGTCAGGTCGGCCGGCGACTTTGTCCGCCGGCTGTTATCGGCTGTGACGCCATCGGCCGGCGCGGCGAAACCAACAAATACGCTGTGTTATTGGCTGACCCGCCGGCCGGCCGGACGGCTGACCAGTGCGACTGGCCAGTCGTATCCACTATCCGCTGGTATGCGTCGACGCGTCGGACTGCAGAGAGCGACATACAGAGACGGCTGCGGGCTGCAGCACGTGCGGCCACCCTGCCGCCCCGAGCCGGTCGCCGGAATGGTGCTGGCCGCTGGTTTACACAGGCCGTTATTTGCTGTCCTGTGCGATGAATTGCCTGCCAACCTTGATCGCGGTTTGATTTTGCACCCCACACGGCGCATCCGGCAATGAGGAGCACGGGAAACTGTTATTGTTTGCGGGCAGTGTTTTTACTGCGAACAAAAGGTGCGCCTCACAGATATTGCATTGGAGACTATGATAGGCATAGGTGAGGTGAGTGGTTTCAGTTGAAGATATAGCAACACATCAATCTAGCCATCAAATTGATTTTCCGGATTGTTTGTTATGGCCAGTTTGATGGCCAGGCTAAAGTAACGTAGATTGGTTTAGCCCACATCCGTATATAGCATTTCCTTGTTAGGTAATTTTGTTTCTAGTCTTTGCAGTGTATTCTTGAGACGCTAAATGGTGATGCCTACATCCAAATGAAATTACCTCGTTTCGCCTGAAAACTTCCAGCTAAAGCCACATCTCTTGGGCGTTTTTCTCATTTGCAAAACTTCATTTTCTCGCGAAGCGGAGTGGCTCTGCCCGCTCGGGATGCTGTGTCTTACATACGAAGGTACTCTGCGCGCCATGTTTGTCGCATCAGGCGCCGTCCTTCTGAGCGTCGCGAACGTCAGCTGCAGGTCCCAGGGGTCGACCGTGCCGGAGACGGCAGTCGGAACGTCCCGCGTCCTCATAGAGCGCTGCGAGCCGCTAGAGGCGTAACGGGAAAGTATTCGTTTAGGTGTTCGCATTGCAGTGCTGCAATATGGTATGGTTAGAGTGCACCATACCTGCTCAGGTATGGTATTTCGATGACATAGCTGTATTATTTCACACCTGATTTAAACGTTTTGAAATATTGATAAACTGGTGTTGAACCATGATAATACCTGCATTTAGATTTAGCATATTTAACCCGCGCCCTGGTGGGGTCTGTTCATACCGCGACTGGTGGGGGGGGGGGGCTATTTTTTGCCCCCCCCCCCTCCTTAGGTATATCTCCGAAACTACTGGACGGATCCGCAAAATTCAAACGGTGTTCGAAAGCAATGTCAAATTCGTCGAAGGAACTTTAATTTCATTCACCTCGGGGTCACCGATGACGTCACAGGTCAGGTCAAAGATAAAATGGTCACGGGTCTTCGAGGGAATGCGCTATTACATCAAGTAAAACGCATTTTATTGAAAATCAGCGATAGGGCGTCAGTTGCCTAGTACATATGGTGCTATTAGAGGTCACTGATAATACCAGGTCAGGTCACAGGTCAGGTCACCAAGGGTCAGGTCACTCAGCACATAAACCCAATTTTACTAGGGCTGTGTGATGCGTGTTTTATGGCCAATTTTTCATTTCAAACTCAATGGTGTTTGTTATAAGACCATCAGGAACGGTTTAGGTCACTTTCTGGTGGAGGTCAGGCCAATGTCAGGTCAAAAAAGGTCTAATTTCAAAGTTGATATTTTTGCATAAGATGGATATTTATTCGATGTAGCTCGTCACGGCGAGTCTAATGGTGGTCTTTTTTGCGCTAAGTTGTCTAGAATTGCTAAAAATTGAGTTTGAAAATTTGACGTCATCAATTTTGAACAGTTTTATCGCTACAACTTGGCAAAAAAAGAGGTATCGATCTAAAATTTGGTCTGTGAATATGAGTCCGTAAGGGCAATCACATATATTACGTTTTTTTTTTTGAAACTTGAAAAACTTTTTGGGTTTTTTGGCAAATATATTCAAAAAAATATTTTAGGGGTGATAATTAAAAGGAAATCGAGATAGCAGTTTTGTAACCCTTGTAATTCTACACCTTTTATGTCTTTAACGTTTTTCTGTATCTTCAAAGCTATAGGCCTGACAAGTGACAGCTCTTCCCGTGAAACCTTTTTTTGGGTCGAAAACGGCAGAACATGACGTCACTCTGACGTCATTTGCGGGTAACCTACCAAAGCCTTTCGAAAACTTTTTGGTCATAATGTGCAAAATTGATGCCCGGGAGAGAATTGAAAGTTTGGTGACGATCGGCGCAGTGATTCTGGAGGTATATCGAAAAGTCTGGAGGGCGGGGGATGGGGGGCAAAAAATAGCCCCCCCCCCAGCAGGGCGCGGGTTTATACACATCTTCGGTGGAAAAGTGTGGTCAAAGTGAGATTTTTTACAAAAGCTTACTTTGAAGCGCCAATGGCAAGCAACTATAAGGAAAGGAGTAAAATAAAAGGTGTTATCAGAATCGGTGACGTGAGCCCGTCGGTCGGTCGGATACTCAGATAGGGCATGTTGACTACCGACTATCAAACGGGAGCATTATGACACGCTCTATCACCGTGAAAGATGCAGCAGTTGGCAGCGGCACGCCCGAAACACGTGAAACGCTTATACCAGTATATTAAATTTAGTGACCGTGACCACGCTATATCCGAAGCATGTACCGAAGCAACTATATACACCAATGTTATGTCATCACCTGCAGCGTCGACAGGTTCGTGCGCCAGCTCGGTGACCTAATATGTA